TTTTAAGAAAGCGGTTGTTCCAGTTAACTTGCTGGATTTTTTCCGCTTGTATTCATAAATTAAGTTTTCTCTATTTTCAGTGTCATTTTTATGTTTCATTCATGATGGTAATTCTGTAAGATGGCATTCAATGTTTTCAACGTTCTTCAATTCTCCGTGAAAGTTTTTATCATCAGAGAACAAAATGGCTTTAGAGTTCAGTACTGCTTTAGACAGATCTTTTTCACAGAGCGGGAAAACATTATTGACCCTTTTGGGACTCCGGCTCATAATTGACCGAAAACCTTGAGGGCAAAAAACTGTTTTCTATCAGAGAGATTAGATTTAGGAGTGGATGAACACTTTACGATCCGAGGGATTTCAACACTGTTCGTTCGTGATAGAACCTTTGAGTAATCCGGCCGGCAGCCTTTAAACGTGTCAAAGTAAACTTTTGATAAGAACTTTCAGACAAAATTAATCAAAATGAACATTTTTTATTATAAGTTAACAATTCATTAACCTAGACCATAAACAGATATAATTCAAAAAGCAGATAAAAAATAAAAAAATAAAAAATACAATCTAGATGCAAAAGGTTTTTAATAAGAAAAAACAAGCCTTTACGATAATTTTGAAATTATACGGGTATAGATAATTGCCAAATGCAATTAAATAAAATCAAGACTGCTCGAATATCAGGACAAAGCCCTGAATGTTCCGACTGCCCCCTATTTGGGAAACGAGAAAAAAAACATTAAATTTTGGACTACTTCAAACAACAAGTGTGAAAATTTGAATATTACGAAGTTAATACGACCGACTACTCAGCCTCAATTTGATTTGGAAAGTTTTTTTAGGCAGGATAATTCGCCACGCAACAATTTGCGTTACGCTCTCAATATTATGGATAAAATTTTCAAATTTCGCATAAATTAGTCCAGAGCATGGCCAATTTGACAATTTTTAAACTCTCAAAACTATGCAACAATTGATTGGAGGTAAAATATCTTTTTAAATATTATTTCAAGGAGTCGATATCTTCAATGGGGCATAAAAATTTTTTCTTAAAAATATTATTTCATTCGTCGAAAATTGACTGAATAAAAAAATATACCAAGCATAAATAAAACTTGCTAAAAACTAAATGCAGGGGAGATACAACTTAATATTTGAGATCAGGAAATCAATGTTGTTCAGATGAAATAAGAAACTAATTTTGGTTTGATAAGAAAAAGAAATACGAACCAAAAAATTCCATTATTTTCGGCCAATATTGGAACCACAAAAAATCCTACATTTCTGCGACAAATGTTTTTGTATAGCATCTAAATAGCATCCTAATTTTTGCATATTTTCAAAGATGATGATATCGTAAATTGTTAAGAGTTTTTAGTATAAAAAAAACATCAAATTTCCTTTCTTTCGAAACTACCTGTAATAATAAAAGAATTTTTCAGTTTCTTAAACTTTGATCGGAGTTTTATTAGCAAGATCAGTGACAAAATATTTTGCTGAAGATATTGATTTTTTTTCTATAATTTTCAGGGTCTTGTCTAATTGTGTTTCCAGTTTTTTTATAACAGAACTGAATTTTACAGTATTTCAAGTTTTTTGTTTGACTAAACAACATAATTATTTCTTTAGAAAATGCTCAAAGTTGCTTGAAAAACAATTTGTCAACCAGAAGTGGGCATGAATTTTTGAGGGCTACATTTTTGTTTTTAATTTATTAGTTTTCAAGCCGTCTCAAAAATATATTAAAAAGACGCCACTAAAAATTACTTCGCCTTTGTAACTTATTCCTTGCAAATTTTGTTGATAATGGCACCAACGGTGCTCCTAGAAAAAAATTAGGGTTGATCGACCAAAATGACCGTCGTAAATAATGCCAAAGAGAGATTACACTAACTTTATAGAACAAAAAACTCGAGAAATGATTAGTGTTTTTGATTTTTGTTTCCTTCAAAATTGGCTTGTGCAGCTCGTTATTGCAGTCGCTATATTGATCACTATGCCAGCTAGTTCTCTGTCATAGCTAAATGAACTTGATTTTAGCGAAGAAAATACTTTTGATCAATAGTTTATCGATAAGTGGGTGCGAGCAATAAATCGTTTATGATGCCATAATTTGAATTAAAACTACATAACTGCTTATCTCAAAATCGTGAGCGTCAGCTGAAAATCACCTGCTCAAGTTGGGAAATGATTTCTGTTGCAGTAAGAAAAATAATCGATAATAACTTCCTTAATGAGGGCAATAAAATTTGTGTTAAGGATTTTTGAAATCTCAAAGCTACTTTGAAAAGTAAATTAAGTCTAAATAGACTGTTCTGCTTCAAGTGATTCGAAAGTAAAACTTAATTGAGTTTGATTTGTTTATTGAAAAAACAGATGCAGATTTAAGAAGCGCACGCCATTTTCGTTCACTGCTTCAATTTTGAACGACTCATTTTCCTTATTCAGAAGAAAATTAAAATTTGAGCGCCAATATTCACTAAGTTTCAAGAGAGCAACCAAAAATTGTTTTTTGAGTTGGTCAACCGAACATTGCTCAAGAAAGACGCCACGTGGAGCGATCGAAATTGAGACCTACAGTGACCTGTAAATTGCAATAAAAACATAATAATAACTTGACTGCTCGTATCAGCAGGACAAAGCCTTGAATGTTCCGACTGCCTTTTAAGGTCTACGAAGCAGTAATAATATGAAAAAACTAAATGTAATCAAATAAAACAAATTTTTTTTCTTAATTTGAGATTTATTGTGAAAATCATCCCCCCATATGCCATATAAAGTACAAAGTGATAGATTGCGCTCCTAGTAATAATCCAATTATGGCAAATAAACTTCCTTCAACCAATTTGCAACGATTTCTAAGACGGATTAAACATCAGCTTACGCGTTAATAGCGCGAAACATATCGCGCGTTAATTGTCCCAATTTGGCCAAAATGGCAACCCTTAAACCCCCATAACTTTATGAAAAACGAAATATTTTTTCAAATATAAGCTCAAGACAACAATTACTTTTGGATGATATAAAATAATTCCGTCAAAATGGCTAGTTAAAAATTCCAAATTGGTCTGAAGAAAGAAACCACCCCGAGCACAAATATTCCCCTAATTTTGTTACGAAAGTCGGTAAGAAATAAAATAATAACCATAATGATAACGAGGATAGCCGATTACTGCGCAAGTAGCAGAGAATGTTCTGACCACAGTCTTTTTTTTTTCAAATGTTTGTTGTTTTTTTTAAATGATTGTCGTTTTTTCCCCGCATGGTCTGATAAAAAGATCTGAACAAAAACAAGAACTTCGGCATATTTGAAAGTCATAGTAAAAAAGCTTTCCGGAAAACAGTTTTTGAAGAAAAATGACTAGAAAACGAAAAAGAATGTCGAAAAAATGTAGAAAAAAATGTCAGTTTTTCTGGACACTGTGAAAAAAAATTTTGAAATTTTTTAATGTTCAAATCACGATTGATAGGGCTTTATTATGATATATCACTCAAAGCATTCCGATAATTATTTGTGGTACCTGATTTTGCGTACGAAACAAGACGAAAAAACCCATAAAACATCCGAATACAAAATTTCTCCCCATTTTTCAAATGGTCGGAACAATAACAATAATAATAATAATCATAATAATATCAATTATAAAAATAATAATAATCATAATAACAATGATAATAATAATCATAACAATCATAATCATGATAAAAATCATAATCGTAATTTTGATAATAATTGTAATAATCATAATAATCATAATCATAACAATCATAATAATCATAATAACAACGAGGACAGCCGGTTACTGCGCACTGCGCAAGTAGCACAGAATGTTCTGACCACAGTCTTTTTTCAAATTTTTGTTGTTTTTTTATCACATTTTTGTCGTTTTTTTCCCGCATGGTCTGATAAAAAGATCTGAACGAAAATAAAAACTTCGGCATATTTGAAAGCTTTGCGGAAAATAGTTTTGGGAAGAAAAATGACTAGAAAACGAAAAAAAAATGTCAAAAAAAATGTAGAAAAAAGTGTCCGTTTTTCTCGACACTGTGAAAAAAAAATTTGAAATTTTTTAATGTTCAAATCACGATTGATGGGACTTACTATGATATATCATTCAAACCATTCCGATAATTATTTGTGGTACCTGATTTTGCGTAGGAAAAAAAGAGAAAAACCCATAAAACATACGAATACAAAGTTTCTCCCCATTATTCAAATGGTCGGAACAATAATAATAATATTAATTATAAAAATGATAAGAATCATAATAATAAAAAATAACAATCATAATCATGATAACAATAATAATCCTAATATTGATAATAATTATAATAATAAAAGTATTAATAATAATCATAATCATAATAGTAATAATCATAATCATTATGATAATAATCATAATATTAATCATAATAATTTTATTAATAACCATAAAAATAGTAATAATAATCTTAATCATAATATTTTTAATCGTAATAACAATCACAATAATCATAATAATAATCATAATCATAATTATAATGATAATAATCATAAAACTAATTACAAAAATCATAATAATATGATTAATAATCATAATAATCATAATCATAATAATTTTAATCGTAATAATAAACATAATACTAATAATAAGCATAATAATAGTAATAATGATAATAAACATAATATTAATAATAATCATAATAATCATAATCATAATAATTTAAATCCTAAATCATCATAATAATGATAATAATAATGATAATAATCATAATATTAATCATAATAATCAAAATAATCATAATCATAATAATTTTAATCGTAATAACTATCATAATAGTCGTCATAATATTAAATGTCCAAAAAAAAACGAATTGCTATGAGGTTCACAGATTAGTAGACTTGTAAGTGAGATTGCCAATAACTAAATCCCAGAGTGAAGCCAGAGAGAACGTCTTCAGATCAAATGGTCCGTTTTCAAACGTCTCTGATCTAGAAATAGTAAAGTGACCTTCAATCTAACCTTGCAAAGTGGTTTTGCTAGTATGCCTAGACGTTGCCATGGCGACAGGGGTGAGCCACAGAGGGTGTCAGCTATGATGGGCACCACAAACACACAGTACACCCAGTCTGCGATGCTCAGATTCAACATGCACAGATTAGTGGGGGTCTTGGAGGTGCGCAACATCTTCACCAGAATCCAAATAGCCACGCTGTTGCCTGAAAACAGGGATCTCTATAATTGTATCCCCTTTTGCGAGGGGGTTTAAATTCTAATATGCTTAACCGCTGACTTACTTCTTTAAAGGGGGAGATGATATAGTCAAAGAGATCCGAAGACAGAAACCGCTCATAACCAAAACGGAGTAATTTTGATAAACATGCAAAATCGCAAAAATCGCCAAAGTTGGTGGGAAAAAACATTGATAAGTTCCCGGGTTGAAGTCCCACCGTTAATTATCGCTTTTTCTGTAGTATCCCAGTGATCGCTATTTTCCAGCGCTGATTCATGTATAATTCAGAGTTTTTTGCATAGATAAACCTGCGATAGTTCACTAATGAGTTCTTTTCCAGTTTCCCCCCTTTCAAAACACCGAGTTTTATATTTGTTTTACGTGTTATTACGGCTAAATGCGTGATGTTACGCTGTAAAGTATGAAGAACAAATCTGTTCAGAATTGTCCATTTGTTCACCACGCCAAATTTCATTGCATTGTGACAACGTTAAATAGACTTTTCAAAATTGAATTTGAAAGGGGGGAACTGGAAAAGAGCCCACTAATGATTCCGTTGAAAATCATCGCTAAAACGTAAGAAATTTTAACTCATTCTAATAGCTTTCAAATGAGAGATTTAGTAGATAAGCTCTTTTACATTTTAACTTTTTTAAGGATTGGTAGCACAGAGGTAGCATGTACTTCTACATATCTGAAGGTTAGGGGAGCGAAACCCTGTTAGAGCGCTATTTTTGCTCATGCTGATAGATTTTTTTTGCTGTTTCATTGCTGAGAATAAGCCAAATTCGCGATAAATAGCGATAAAATTTGCTATTTTGGCAATGAACATCGATAATGCATCGATGGGGATTGCTGTTTTTTTTTCAATTTTTTATCGCTACTTTTCAATGTGAGCTCAACCCGGGTTGGTAAACTGAACTAATAATTTAACTAAAAACAATTTTGGTAAGAAAATACCAGTTCTTTGTTTAAAAAAAACTGTTTAGAAATAAGCAATTAACCACGGAAAATTATTTGAAAAAGAATCATTCAGCTTAATCCATGGTAAATTTGCTCAAAAATTGGGAAAATCAAGTCGAAAATAAATTTTATAAAATTCTGAGCAAAATCATTTATGGAAAGAGCTGAATTATTTTCTTAAAATAACTTTTCCTGGTTAATTGATAAATTTTAAAGTTCTCGCGACTGTACTTAAGTTACTCAACTGAGCTTCTGACTTATGATCGAAGAAACTTTTTGGTTATCAAAAAGAGAAAAATAGAAAAAAAATAAATGGAAGACATTAATTAGCCGTTCGAAAGAATATAATTTTAGTCCTAGCAAGAAACCAGAAGAGAAAGGCTCTTAGACACGCAAAATCATGAATCGAAGCAAATTCCAAAAACAAAGCAGTGTCAGGTGTCTCAAGGGCCCATTTGAACAATCTCCCCCTTAAAAATTCAAGTGAACCATCTCCCCTAAAATTTAATGGCAAATTTAAGCCATAAGGCCTGCATGTACTATGCTCAAATTTGATTGGCTGAAAAATTTTGCATTTTACCGAGTGAAAAATCTCCCTCCTAAATTGATATAGGGGGAGATTGTTTACTTTATTGTCTCAAAAAATACATGTATATAATATTTGACTTAAATAATTCACATGTTTTAAGTCCTCCAGAGAAGCCAAAAGTTGACAACATAGTGATTTTCTTCTTCAACTAACACAATTAGTGGGATGTTATTTTACCCCAATTCAATTTGACCAAGATTTCAGAACAAAAAGTTTTTCACAAGATTAGTCGGCCACATTTGATACTCAATGTAAACAATTTTGAAACCCTTTAGTAATTTTTTCAAAAATAAGATTATATGGTTGAGACAAAAAATAATCATATTTGAGCCTAGGGTATTCTTATCTTTCATATACTTTCAAATAATCACCTTGGAGCACCTTTAGTTTTTTTGAGATCAAAATTATTTATCTTTCAGTTACTGCAAAAAAATTCGGTTAAAAAATTTTAACAAAAAAAAATGAAGTTTGATTGTTAAAAAAACACTTCCATGGTATCTAGTTTGTCCCATTTTTCATAAATTGAGAAAAAAATGGATGGAAGACCTTTAATAAGCGGTTCAACGAAAACTCATACATATTACTAAAACATCCTCGGAAGAATATAGAAAAAAAATTGAAAAACTCTTTAATCAGCCGTTAAATAAAAATTTTTACTAAAAAACTCTGAGCAAAACATCTTAATAAATGTCTCAATAAATTTTTTTTAAAGCCAAAGATGTGTGATAGGATGTCATGCTCTGTTCTGTCAACACTGTCAGTTTTTGGGAGAATATCTAAAAATTAATTGAATATGCGCTTCTTGCAATGATAAAATGTCAGATTCAGATATTTGTTTTGAGACAGAAATGAATAACGATAAATACTTCTCCCCACCAAAAGTTCACACCTCCCAAAGAAATGGACAGAAATGAATATAAATAATTAGTTTCTCCTCCCAAAAATCACCCCTCCCAGAAAACAAATGTCACCTCCGTGATGCCTTATGTCACCGCATGCATGATTTTAAATCTATTTCTGTTCAGAGGATAGTTTTTTATAGAGAACAAAATTTTTAAAAAATGTTTGTGTGTCTTCAAAAGGGGAGTTGAGTACATGTAAATCAGTTTTGGACATCTGGATTTTTGTCGACTTGAAAGGCTTCAAAGAAGCTTTAAAGACCTTTTTACTACAATAAAACTGGTACAAGAGTAACATTGACTAAAGTAAACATGTTTTTGAAGTTTATTGATGTATTTGCACTGAACCTAATTTCTGTTAAAAAAATTGACGAGCTGAGCTGAAGGGGGAGACAACCATTTTTAGTCACAGATACATCGACTCACCAAAAAAAAACATTTTTTTGGAATGGTCCCGGTCCCTTTTGGCGCAATTAAACTTTAAACGACATCTATTGTCCTTTAATCCTGTAAGTTTTCTAAAGGCTCTGTTTCCATTTTTTTGGGAGACGGGAGGAAGCTTGCACATAAAAAGACATTGATTTTCTATCAGAAGTAGATGTTTTAGGAGTATAGATGGATGCCCGTTTCTCATCCCGAAAACAGCCTCCTTTATTTCAAACATTAAACTTGCTTTTAGAAGTTTGAAACGTTCTTTTGATTGAAAAATGCTTCCAAAACATTCAAAACTCTCCTAAAATATGTTAGAATAGTCGGGTAAATCAACTTTTTTTTAAAAATAAAAATTGAAACTACAAGTCTCCTTGTGCCTTTATGAACCTCCTAGATTTGTCCTTCCTCCACAATAATCATTGAAAAATTACTCTGTGAAAAAAAATGTTTAAAACAGTGAACATTCGATAATTGATAAAAACCCATTTTGTGTTTGAATTTGAATTTTAATTGTTTTACTACGTGCGGCTACAATGCGTAACAAGCGACAGTCCGTAACAAGCTACAACAAACATAAAATTATACGGTGAACACTAATTCCTCTCGTGCCGGATGTAAGCGCAGCGGAGCAAAGCGAAGCAAGCGTATCCCTCTTGCCAATGCCTTGTTACGAACTGTCATTTACTGTCGCCTGTTACAAATTGTCTTCAATAAAAACAAAATAAACAGTGGTGGGTAAAAACAAATTGGAAAAGCCTTTGGCATAAACAAAATAAAACAAAAGGCTATTCAGCTCATTGAAAGGAAAACCTTTTAGGATTAATTTTGAATATGCGCTTCTTGCAAAATTTAGGATTAATTGCTGAAGCATGTAGTTGTTGTTCCGACTCTCGATACGAAAGTAACGGAATATTTGTGCTCGGGGTGTTTTTTTTTCTTGGGTGAACTTTTGTACTTTATGGCGTGTGGGGGGATAATTTTCAAAAAAACTTCAAAATTTAGAAAAAAAAGTTCATTTTATTTTATTACATTTAATGGCAGTCGGAACTTAAAAGGCAGTCGGAACATTCAGGGCTTCGCCCTGATACGAGCAGTCTTGTTTGTTTTGAATTGATTACAGATATAAAATGAAAAGTTATTCTGCCGCAAAAAGTCGCTTTTTTAAAGTCTACTAGTTGTCGCCTGCGACCAATTGTCGCATCACGGACAGCAATCACTTTCAACAAATGACCCAATTGCATAACAGACTAACACAGTCATGATGGATATGATGGATGATTAAATACAGATTCGTGCATTTCCAAAAAAAACACCGAAAAAGAATTTCACAACTTTTGGATTTAACAAGGATAAAAGCGTAGTTTTGACTCTTTTTTAATTATCAGCATTTGAAATTGTTCAGATACTTGTTTTGCTCGGTTTTTGCATGACGCCAGATAAAAAGAAGAAATTGGCCATATATTCAGTTAAACATGTGAGAACCTTGGCGCGAAAGGTTTTAAAAATTTTAGGGATCAAAAAAGTATTTGGATCATTTTATACGCACTTTATTACCAGTTTATATGAAAAAAGCATACGCAGCGAAAAACAATTAAAGCAAACCAATGATTCATAAATTTTCTCAGCAAACGCAAACCATCTCACCTAAAATTTTGGAAAATGATTTAATCAAGAATGAAACATGTTAAAAACTAAGTGCTATTTAAAACTGTGGTAAACGTTTTAAAAATTGGTGAATAAAAAAAACGAATCTGGATGATGTGAGGACTATTAGAAATGCGGACTTGAAAAGAAGCGGATTTTTTATAGATAATTTCGATTACAAAAAGCAGCTAAATTTTAATTTATTAACTTGTGTTGAACTTTAAACAAGAAAAAAGATAGTCATACAATTTCAGGGTAGATAGAGAAAATGAAAAAAGCTAGCCATACAGTTGTTATAAGAGAAATATACGACTAGCCTTTTTGTTATAGAAAAACAGCAGCTTTTGGTTCTACACAAACAGATATTCAGTTAATTACATGTAAGGACTGTAATAACTGTTAAATTTAGACAATTGCATTCCAATTAGCTTACGAGACTATATTTTCTTTTTTTTCTAAAAAAAAGATAGTCATATATTTTTAAACTCCCTTTTTGATATTACTAGGAAGTTTGTTCAACTATATGTTTCAAAAACGCTCCCAAAATTGTAATGTCTTTCAAAAATCAATGCTGAAATTTTGTGCCAATTGTAAAAACCTGAGAGGCTTTTCAATATTTAGGCTTGAAAGCTAGCTTTAACTTGATGACCTGAAGGATTGATTTTCTAGCTTTCACTTGATGACTTGAAGGACCTCAAATATTCAACTCCCTCATCAACCAAAGGATCCCCACTATTATGATTTCATGGCAACCAATTTAGGCCGATCAACCCAAAAATTTGTCTAAAGGCGGTTATACACTAATTTTGAAGGGGGCGCGTGCCAAACAAACGCACTTTTTTCACCAAAATCCTCCAAAAAGTGCCCAAAAATGGTATTTTTGACCTGTTTTTTTTTCAAAAAAATAGCTTGCGGCGCAAAATTTTTCGTCAAAATAGGGTCTTTATAGTGTTCTGGGAGTGTTAAAAAAGTCGACAAAATTTTTGAAATTTTTTTGAAAATCTGCCCCCTCGAGAAAAACATAGATCCGCCTCTGGTATTGAGAATATTTGGTCATAGACTCTTATAGTATGATGAAAAAACTAGTTTCAGTTCTGTGTTCAGAACAAAAGTTCAAAGAGCAGTCGAAAAAATTTTGTACTGATAGGTGCTGTCGTGTTATATAACAGTTTGTGTGAGTCTGTTATTCGGCTTCTAAAATCGTCTGTTATTCGACCCTCAAATAAAACTAGATTACTTCAAGATTTACTTTACAATTTTTTTTTCTTCAATAATACGAGGCTCAAGTGTTGATTTTAGAAAAGTATTCAATATTGTTCAAATAAAAAAGGTAATCAATAGAGCCATTTAACTTGAGAATTAACTCAAAATATCATTTGATAGATGCGCAGGTGTTTAGAGGCAGATAAGAATTGGTGTGATTGTTCAACTGATATTTATTTGAATTGCCCCTTTCAAAGTGAAAAAGAAATGGAGCGTCGGACAACCAATTTTGGCACCGAAATTAATTCAAAGACAATTGGCACATACAGAAAGGACCTTTTCTCCATAAACCATGCTTTGAAAATTTGAAAAGGTAAATCGCAAGAATATAAATATCTAAACGATGTTCGTTGTTGTTTTTTTCCAGAAAAATTTTAACTCCCGAAACGGCAGTTTCACGAAAATTGTTTTAAGCTCTCTGAAAAAATTTGAAACTTGATATTGCGAATGAAAAACACTTTTTATCAATTACAATCAATTTTTAAAAGTTTATGGGCGCACAAAAATTGACAGATTGGCCAATTTAAAAAAAATTAAAAGCTTCAGGCCAAACTTGTATACGCTTTTCTAAGAAGAGAATTAATTTGTTCATAATTTGCAAAAATTGGTTTTCAAAACATTCTTAAATTTGAAAAAATATATATTTTTGAAAAAAAAAACTGCGCAAATTATTCAAGTGTCTTTCGAATTCAGCAAAATAAATAAATCTCTGGATGCTATACAAATAAGCCGACAGTACACTAAGGCAACAATAGTTTTAGACGACCAAAATGTACACAAATAATAGCAATACCAGCCCAATAAGCTTTTACACATGACCAAAAAAAAACATTTACTGATAAGTTTTTTCGCGCCTGATTTTTGCAAGGAAGAAAATTGAACTCAATTTTGGCCAGAAAACAAGAAATATTGGTTGATGCGAGTTTAATTGTTAAAATTTCCTTTTTTGTTTTGCTCAAAAATGTATTTCACATGATTACAAAAAAAATCATTTCGCGTTGTCAATTTCTCAGAAAAATACTTTATCGTCTAAAAGTCCCATCAAACACGGTTTTCGCCTTAATGGCTGTCGCCTTGTTTGCCGATCACCAAATCTCTGGTGCTGAATACATATTAGCAAATAAAATTGCACTGATCAAGAAACAGCAAAAATTGAAAAAAAGTTTTTTTTTTTTAAAAAAACTTTCATCATAATTTATTTCTCATAAAAATCGTATACCTTCTTTCATATTCTTACAAAAATAATGGTTGTTTTAATGAATTTTTTCTTCTCTCCTAAACAAAACGACTAGTTTGGACTTGCTGTTGGCTATAAGAGCAGCAAACTTTTAACATCAAAATGAAAACTTTGATCATTGTAAAAGGTATAAATTGTTTTTCAAAATCAGCAATTTGCCCTTACGTGCAGGCTATAAACAAAGCTTTGTGGTACCAATCGTTCCTTTGCTGTAAGCAGTAGCTTCTACAAACTAAAATTTCTAACAGAAATTAGAACAATTCAATTTTTTTTGACAAAGAAATGATTAATAATAAACGTCAACAAATTGCATTTGTTGACTTCAGGAAAACAATAGGCGCGGATCTAGGGTTTTTTGGGAGGCAGATTTTCAAAAAAAATCGAAGATTTGGTTTGATTTCTTTTTAGGTAGACCAAATTGAACTTTCGAGCTCAACCAAATCACTATTAGAAACATAGTTTTACACAGGCGAATCGTCTGCACCACAAGCAAATATTTTTTCATAAACGCTCTTTTTAGCAGTCTTTGGACAGTTTTTAACAAAAAAAGTTAGTAAGGTTGAAGTTTACTCCCACTCAATGCTATTTTTTACCTACGACAGAGCGCTTTGAGCAAGTTTTTGGGATTGGTCTGCAGAAAATGGAAGTCATAGAATTGACCAATAGAAAAACCTGTTAAGTAGTCAGTGTTTGGAATCCCTGAAGTTGGCCATCAAAAATCCATTCTTGGTAAGTTTCACAAAAAAAGAACGCCAGAATTGATACTTTCCTATAACAAGAACAGTTAAATGATAAATCTTCTGAGAGAAAAAATCATGAAATAAAATGATTTTTTATGGACTAAATCAACGAAAATTGAACACAATGAAAACTTTTCTACATTATTCAAAGCGAACTCACATTTTAGAGCCATTTCATTAAACAAAAAATTTATAATTTTTAATAAAAAGATTTAAAAAAAGTAGTTATTGGAACCAACTTTTTGCGTTGATTACACTCTTGGTATAGTTTTAATTGTTCATATTTCCATAAACCGCAGGCAACTATGAAAGCTTGACTTTCTTATTCAGTTTATTTCTCGATTTAGTTTTTTTTTCAACGCAATTTTTACTTCAATAATTTCCAATTTTTTTCAATCCATTTCAACTCATTAAAAGATGGGTTTCTCAGAAAAAGGCAATTTGATAAACTTTTTGTAGCAGACATATTCAAAATTGAAAATCAGTTTTAGAAGTTTAACTCAAAAAAAGTTTAATCCTTAAGTGGTGACAATCAAAAGTTCCTGAAAAGTGTTCTCAATTTCCGCGCTCACTCGCGGCCCTTCTAAATCATGTTTGTCAGTTGTACAAAGTTTTTCAGTTTGTACCTGGAAATCGTTCTTAAATTCCGCGCCCACTCATGCACCCTCTAAATCATTTTTGCCAGTTGTACATGCTTTTTCAGTTTGTACCTTAAAAGTGTACTAAATTTCCGCGCCTACTAATGCCCCCTCTAAACCAAGTTTGTCAGTTTGTACAATTTTTTGTTCATTTGTTCCTTAAAGGTGTTCTAATTTTCCGCGCCCACTCATGCCCCCTCTAAATCATGTTGTCAGTTGTACAAATTTTTTCAGTTTGCACCTTAAAAGTGTGTTAACCTCCCGCGCGCACTCTCGCCCCCTCTAAATCAAGTTTGTCAGTTTGTACATGAAAAGTGTTCTAAATTTCCGCGCCCACTCATGTCTCCTCTAAATCATATTTGTCATTTTGTACAAGTTTTTTCAGTTTGTACCTTAAAAGTGTTTTAACCTCCCGCGCACACTCTCACCCCCTCTAAATCAAGCTTGTCAGTTTGTAAATGAAAAGTGTTCTAAATTTCCGCGCCCACTCATATCTTCTCTAAATCATATTTGTCATTTTGTACAAGTTTTTTCAGTTTGTACCTTAAAAGTGTTTTAACCTCCCGCGCGCACTCTCACCCCCTCTAAATCAAGATTGTCAGTTTGTACATGAAAAGTGTTCTAAATTTCCGCGCCCACTCATATCTTCTCTAAATCATATTTGTCATTTTGTACAAGTTTTTTCACTTTGTACCTTCAAAGTGTTCTAACTTCCAGTGCGCACTCTCGCCCATTCTAAATCACATTTGTCAGTTTGTACCTGTTGCTGAATTCTGTTTTCTCCACCCTATTTTTCAGATTCTGCTGAATTAATTTTAAAAATCAAGAATTTCTCCAAACTAAACTTATTTTGCAACAAAAAAGAACCGCTATTTTATTTAAGACCCTTAACAAAATTTTATGCTCAACTTCAGTTCCCTTCTAACCCGCGCACATAAAATGTTAAGTTTGAAAATATTAAAGCTAATTATAGTCGCTTTATCTTTTTTGTATTCTTGTCGTGTTTCTGCGGAATGAACGAAAACTTTCCTAGAAAATTTGTGTCAAAAGATCGTTGGTTTTGCGGTTTTTCATACAGCGTTTTTTTGGTAAAAAATGAGTGAAAACATGCCGTTTTTGAACAGAATTCGGGACTTTTAGCGCAGAAACTTAGATCTTTTTTTTGTATGGGCTTCGAGAAAATTTTCAAGGACTTTCAGAAAATGAATGGATGACGAGAAATAAAGACAACCTTTTTATGCGATGAAAAGCTCGATCGAATTTCTGAGGGAAAATGGGTCCCTATAAACCGCTGCTAATTGATTCGTGATATCAACGGTTCGTATTTTTAGATCGCACTATTATGCACTTCAATGTCCTCCTAAAAAAAATAAATCCTTTTTCAAGCCTGGGAAAATTAATTAATTTAATTGAAGCAAACTTCGCGAATAATCATAAGAAAAAAAAACATTTTAGGGCTCGGTCTATAATAAATAAAGTTTGACAGAAAATGAAACTAAATCTGACCTAAAAATCCGATGAAGCATTCCAGGGCATAAATTGCAGTGAAGAAAATCACCAAACCAGGGAGACGCGGGGGCTCGAACTCATGATCAGTGGTTTCGTTGATTGTCAGAGAATCATTGTACGTCGAGTTCGTTTCCTGCTCCATTATTGCAGAGGCGATGGTAATTTTTAGTTTCTGTTTAACTGGTTGTTTGTAGGTTTGTCACAATTCAATCAGTCGACTGAAACCGAACAAAAATCGATGAATTAGAAAATTAGCGAAAGCTGTTCGAAACAATTTATTAATATAAAAGAGTACCTTAAAGGCCAAAAGATGGCTGAATTTTACTTTGAAAAAAAAATGAATAACTTTTATTAATTTCAAATTTTTGAAAGAATGGATTGAAGCCTGTTTCGAGTTAAAACATGCGTTTCTGGTTAGGCGCATAAGAAATTAAGTAAATTAAGTATGGAAATAAACTGGGCTTTCGCGGAAATAAATCAACGGGTTAAATCCTTCCTTTTGAATGGAATAAATTTAAAATGACATTTTGAATACCAGTTGTGCATTTAGCGACATAGTTAAACTCAGAGGGAAGTAAAATTAACTAAAAAGTAATTTGAAACAAAACGGATTCAATTATTGATTATTGTTCAGCTACGTCAGCATCTGGCAAAGCGGGCTCAGTTCGCATTTTTTTTTCAATAAAGTAGGTCTGAAAGCAATTTAAAAAATGTCTTCTTATTTGTGTGAACTATCCGGAAAATTTTCAAATAAAAATACAGTAACTTTGTAGTTTTCCCGTATTTGAAGGGAGGTTTGATCACGTTATTGAAATCGGCCAATACAAACTAAAGCTTCAAATAAATATTTTTATTTTTTTTATTCAGCCTTCATTGGTTAAAATATATTTACTTGATCAATTTTTCTATTGTTTGAACTGTAAAAAGCTTTGAATTTTCAATTTAAGTGTGGTCAAAGACTATTTTGAGAGACGTCAGTTTTTCTTTTAATCTAGATTGCGTGCCTAAATTTTGACCATTCAGGATTTTGGTGTTTCCGTTTCAACAAAAATAACAGCGCTGAACAAAGAAAATCTTTATGCAGACGCTTCAAATACTATAGACAGAATAGAGCTCTTAATCCTAGAAAAACTGAAATCCAAAGAGTTTCCCCGGTCAATAGATTTAGACTTAGAAACGTTTTAGTCTTTCAATTGTCTCCCTAACAAACTGATTCGGACCATATCGTCGCAACTCGCAAATCCACTCCTTTTTAAACAAAAGTTGGTTCGAAATTTTCAAAGCAAAAATAGCTTGGTATTCAATTTTTTGAACAATGAAACTTTCCTCACAGACGCTAGCCGAAACAGTTTCAATTTGAAAAGATATTTCAGCTGTGATCATTTCCAGTAACGTTATAGGGGTTCAAAGATTGCCAATATGGCCAATTTGGGACAATTAACGCGCAATCTTTTTCACGGGGATTAGAAACTTAGGCGGCAGGAAATTAGACAACCAGAAAATAACGAAATTTAGACAATACCTTGCGTGCAAATTGCGTGAATTTGTTTACAGACTTAAATTATCTTTTAAATCTTTTAAATGGCTGAGTAAAAACTGGTTGTCCAATTTAAACAATAACTTGCTTGCAAATTGCGTGAATTTTATTTACAGACTTAAATTAACTTTTGGCTGAGTAAATACTGACTGTCCGTAAAATTCGTTTCTTTACGGTCGTCTAATTTGCTTATTGTCTAATTTCCTAGTCCCATATTTCACGCTATAGGCAGGGTATTTTTTCATAATTGCTACAATAGTAGGAGCAAAATCTATTGCATTGTACTTAATATGGTGTGTGAAAAGATTATTTATTAAAAAAAAAATTTTAAAAAATTTCCGTAATTGTTCCGACTTTTGTAACGAAAGTAGCGGAATATTTGTATTCGGGGTGGGTTTTTTTCTTCAGACAAATTTCGACTTTTTAACTAGCCAATTTTGACGGAATTTGTTTATATCATTCAGAAAGTTGAGCTTAAATTTAAAAAATATTTCACCTATGATCATTTTTCGTAAAGTTATGGTTGAAAGAAGCTTATTTGCCATAATTGATTTGTTACAAGTAGCAAAATCTATCCTTTTGTACTTTATATGGCGTGTGGGGGATGTTTTTCCTGAAAAATTTCAAATTTTAGAAAAAAAATTTTTTTCATTTTGTTTTATTACCTTTAGTTTTTTTATAGGTTATTACTGCTCCATAAACATTAAAAGGCAGTCGGAACATTCAGGGCTTCGCCCTGATACGAGCAGTTTGTTGTTGCATAGTTAATGCCAAATTGTTTCCAATACCTTTTAGATAAACAATTTATGAATGCATAGAATAATCAGAAAAATTGGTAAAAATAATTAATCGGAAACAAATAAAATTTGATAAATACAATTGTTTCAATTTTTTCATTTTTACTTACCACTAGTTAACAGCTGCCTACGCAAAAAAACGCCGACGGGACAAAAAAACAGCACTGCCAATGCTAATGACCATTCAACAGTCAGTCTAGAACATCTATAACTTTTTTCTTCCTAATTATTTCCTGAGGATTAGCTTAAATAAAAAGTGGTTAATTTTTGTAAAATTATGAGGAATTAAAGATTGCTTATTTGGTCAGTTGGGAAAAATTAATGCGTGATGAGTTTCGTGCTAATAACGCGTCAGCGGAAATTTATTGTTTCAGCTAATAGTAACGAAAGTAATTGATTATTTGTGCTCGAAAAATATCCCGTTACTTTTTTCGACTTTTTAACTGGCCATTTTTGACGGAATTTTTTGATATAAATCAAAAGTTATTGTTTTCTTAAGCTTAAATTTAACAGATAGTTCCTTTGTGATGAATTTATTTTTTAAAAAGTTATGGGGGTTCACATATTACCATTTCGGCCAATTTGGGACAATAAACGCATGATAGATTTCGCGCTATTAACGCGTAAGCGGAATTTCAATCTGTCTTAGAAATTGTTCCAAATTGGTTGAAGGAAGCTTGTTTGCCGTAATTGATTTGTTACAGAAGCTATATTTATCACTTTATACTTTATATGGCGTGTGGGGGGACAATTTTTGCAAAAATCTCAAACCTAAAAAAATTATTCATATTTTTCCTTTAATTTTTCATGTTGTTACTGCTCCATAGACTTTAAAAGGCAGTCGGAACATTTAGAGCCTCGCCCTGATACGAGCAGTCTTGTTTTTATTTAAATTTGATTGAAAAAATAATTTTTTTTTCAAAGCAAATTGCTTCATGAACTTAAAAAAGCAGTTGGAACATTCAAGGCTTCGCCCTGATACGAGTAGTCTGAACAATTACGCATATGAAATAAAAACCTTTTTCAAAGAAAGCTAAAAACTTTAACTTTGTTTTTCAAATATTCCGATCGGTAATCCTAATTTCGTCAAAAATATTTTATGCTAAAATTTTAACTTTGTTTTTCAACAATTCCGATCGGTAATCGAGGTTTCGTCAAAAACATTTTATGCAAAAATTGTTGGAATTTTAAAACTTTGTTATTTACTTTCTAAATTATGAAATTATACTTTCAACGTATATACTACCGTTTAGTTTATACGCTATCTCTGTATCCGAAAAAAATGTTGTAGAAAAGTGTAAAAAGCTATCATCTGAAAATTTTGACTACGCCATAAACTTTTCTTAAAAAACACGAAGGCGACCTCACTCGCAATGTCAAGTACCATATTGTTAACTGTGGGCTTATTAGCTCAAAATTTGATTTTTAAATTTATATTGATTGAAACTTCGATTTTTTTTGTCTGATTTAGATTATTTTTTCCCATATTTGGAAATTCAGAGCGCAATAATTATATAATTATAGTTGGTCGATTGGTTCTTAAAATCTTTTAAAGAGAAATGAACGCATTTAAAACAATAGGTTTTCATTGTGTCTTAGTTTAAACTGTTAACAAAAAAACAACTGAGCTTAACTATAACTTTTACACCATTAAAGGAGGTAGCGATACGATTCCTATGTGTGACTATTTTCATGCAAGAATCATTGCTTCAACTAGATGTATTTCAGGCAAAAACAATTAGCCTTTGGAACTCGAATACTTGAAAACAATTCAATTTTTTAATGGAGTTAACTTTTGCCTAATTAAAAAACACTCTCACTTGCTAAGTGCACGTTGTTGAAAATTGCAAATTGGAGTAGAGAAAACGTGCAAAAGTGAACCTTCAATTCAAATTACGTTTTTTGACATAGGCATGTTAATTGACACACATGCGATTAGGTGTCCTCCATCGAAGGAACGAATAATAAAAACGGAATACGGTTAACACCAAAGCCCCCTCCCCTCGGGGTTTTGACCCTCTCACCAACCAAAGGGTTTCCCTTTTGGTATAATATGATGACATCAATTTTAGCCCCCACCTTTGGCGCCAATGTAAACTAATTTTGAAAGGGAAAGTGAGCCGTAACAAGGCAACTTTTTGGTCAAAATTTTCCAAAAATGCCTTAAAACGGTTTTATGGCCTGTTTTTGTAACTGCAAAAAATTGCCTTCGAAATAGTGTCTTAATAGTAACCTGGGAGAGCTCGGAAAATATCAATTTGATCGATTAAAAAAAAGGTCGACAAAATTTCGAAACCTTTTTAAAAATCCGCCCCCCCCGCGAGAAAATCCTAGATCCGCTTATGGTTAAAACATCTCTGAAACTGAATGAGCAATTTAGAACATATTTCAATCAAAAAAATTAAGAAACCAATAGCTGCCAAAATTTTTTTTTCAGCAAGTTGCTTTTTCTGTGGATAAAAAATTAATTTTTGGGTTAAAAAAAGTGGCATATAAATCTAACGAGACTGCTGAGCAACTTTTTTTTTGAAATTTAGTGTGAATTGAAAAAAAAAACACCCCAAGCGTCGATGCTTCTCACTTGACTCTTAGTCACAAATGGGAATGGGATGCAATGATGTAGTATTATACTAAACGAGAGGTCTTTCGGTCCCCCCCTCCAAAGTTGTGCTATTTTTACTTCACAAAAGTTAAGTTTTTGTCCTAAGAGAGGAAAATTATGAATAACGCGATGTTTTTTACACAATTTATGATTTTTAAAAAAGTTAAATTAAAAACTAACCGTAAGGTTTCGTGAATGGACGTCTTTGAACCTACTAAACATCAATCAAAACAAAGATTCTCGGTCTATAATACAGAGACAAATTTCTCTTTATTGCCGTTTGATGATTTCGATTAAGCATTCAACAGACAGACACATTTCATTTCCTTTGTACTTCTTTGAAGTTTCAAAAAATGTAATAAAAATAATGGAATAACTTAGAGCCAAATTTGATTTTTAACAAAGAATACAAGCTTTCCAAAATAGTACAATAATGTTATTATAACAACAAGTCGTCTTGCCAACGGACTTTTTCTTGCTAATTATTCAAAGTAAAATTAATTTTTCACCAATAACTTTATCATAGAACTTCGTTTTGTCGTTCGTAGATTTGACTATGGTAATGTTTTTTTTTTGGTTCAGCTGCGAGATAATCTAACTAATAAAGGAGGATGAAAACTGCTAATAATGATTAAAAAAAAGTGATTTGGAGGGAAAATTACCCAACTTTTGATAAACTATGAAGTTGATTAAGGCTGAAGCGGAAAAATTAATGGCGAAATCAGACTGAAGACAATAAAATCACCAGACCAAAACAGACACGCTCATTCGTAGCACTAACTCAAAACAATAGTTGGAGCTTACCCCCTCCCCCGTCCCCCGTTTCCCGTCCCCCTCCCAATTTCCCTCCTCCCCTCGAGTTAAACAGCGGTGGGTAAATAAATCAGTAAGTGATAAGTGATATTCGCTGTGGCGCAGCAGGGAAAAGGTACGTAAGTATAAATAGTATAGAGTTAGGAGCCCTTAAAAGAAAACAAATTTATAGCATGCCTCATTGCACTAAAATGTTGAAAACAAACCAGCAAATTTCGTTAAAACTTCGACAGCCGAAATTACAAACAATAAAAATTTCAATTTTTTCATTTCGAAGGGTATAAAGTTTAAAAAAGGAAATTAAAGTTTCAAAAACAGTCACCCTAATCCAGATTTTGCAAAATACTGCCGAAAGCAAAATTGATTTCGAAAACTTACTTTTATTTGCTTAATTTAGAACATGTTTTTAAGCAAATTTTGAATTTGGATTTTTCATTCAGATTTTTTTTAAATACTAAAAGTGGAGGTGAAATAGCGCATGCAAAAAACAAGAAATTCAATAAATCTGACTTTATAGCCTTCGGCTTATTTGTCCCCGAGGCTGTCCCAGATAAACACATGTAAATTAGGGCTAAATTGTAACAAACATCGAGGGTAATAATCGACAGTGGAAAAGCAGCTAATCCTCCTACACGACATTATCAACACTGTGTCTTGGTATCTAAAGAAAGCAAACAGGCGCACTATTCTCGACTAGAATTTCATTTGTTCATTTCTGGGTATTTTTAGCCCTTGGAAAATTTCAAAATTTATTTAAAAATTTTCTGAATAATGGGCGTTAGGTCTGGGGTTGAATTTTTAATGCGTTAGTTCTAGACGGCGACAGTAATTTGTTACAGGCAATTTAACCCTCTTTGGGATGTGATAAAAACGAGACATTTTTTCCCACTTAACACTATTCGCCTGTCAGTGTAAAAAGCCCACGAGTGCATGATTAGTACTAACTGTCACTCTTTCTTTTGTTACGTGGTTCAACATGGTAGTAAATTATTACAAATATTTCAATGTAGCCCCATTAAAAGCCTCAATTTTATCAATTATTCGCCAAAATAATTCATGAAACTGATTTTCTACTGCTACTGAGTTCGAGGTGCTAATGAGTTCAAATTGAGTTCTAATTGATTTAGCTAGGGAAACATTTTTTGCTGTATTGCGGACCTTGTTAACCATTCCCCCGCCCTCCATTTGGAAAAGGGGGATAGTTCGTTACTAGGTAAAAAAAACTCACATATGCTTAACCGTTGAGTTAGTTTTTTATCGGAGTTTCAATTCTCTACTAGAAGAGGAAATACTCTACTATTTCATTGGGGAGGAAATCATAAGCGAGGAAATAGTTAACAAGATCCTCATTTTTGTTCCGACTTTCGAAGAAAACGGAATATTTATGATCGGTGTGGTTTTTTTATTCAGTCAATTTTCTCCGATCGAAATAACAAATTTGAACAAAATTTTTTTATTCCCCATTGAAGATATCGACTTCCTGAGTTCAAATGTAAAAAGATATTTCACCTCCGATATTTTTTGTATAGTTCTGGGGGTTTGAAAATAGCCAAACTTCTCATGTTCTAGACTTAATTATGCGCGCTTTGAAGAATTTATTCATAATGCTGAGAGTAAAACGCGAATTATTTTTGCGTGGCGAGTTATCCCGCACAACAAAATCGTTCCAAATTGAATTGAGGCTAGCTAATTGGTCAATTTCGCAAGAAGTTTTACACTTTGATATTGTCTTAATGTTTAGGTTTTCAAAATGCCCTTTTCCCAAAAACTATTCGATATGAATTAAGGGATAGTGGGAACATTCAGGGCTTTGTCCTAATATACGAGCAGTCTTGTCTATCATTTTACTACCTTCTTTGAAACGCCTCTCACAAAATTAGGTTTCTAAACATCAATCGGGCTTATTTAACAGTCAAGAAGGACAGGGGCAGTTCAGAATTTTAATGTGCTGAGTCATATACCGACAGTGCTATGAAGGATTCTATTAAGACCGATGCTAGGTCGGATGCTCGAGGTCCACCATGATCCGTGCTCATTGCTTGAGGGCGAGGCTACATTACCCAGCCCAGAAAAATAACCCAACAAAATTACATGTAGTTCTTAAGCAGGGACACAACAGCGGCTCGTCGTGATGAGCTGTACAGCTCGTATGGTGGTCCTTTCCTTCGTGGATAAATGGTATTAAAGACGCCCAGTGACAAAAGGAATCACAATGTTCTTGAAAACGGAGACAGCTTAAAACGGGCCGTGCTTGGCTTACGGGTGTTCTTCCATGCTATTCAAACTTGTTCTAGTAGTTTTTTTTGTAAATAACTCGTAAATAGATATCGTTTGGAAACATTTTATTATGCTGATTATTATTAATAGTATTATTAGTATAATTGTTTCAGCAAGTTTTGCGGTTGAGAAATTGATTGAGGATAGAAGTGGTCTGAACCATTTCATTTATTCTCAAAAAGAGACAAGACTGCTCGTATCAGGGCGAAGCCCTGAATTCTCCGACACCCTTTTAAGGTCTATTGAGCAGTGCAGTAAAAACATGAAACAAATTAAATGTAATGAATTGAAACGAATTTTTTTTAATTGAAGTTTTTGAAAATCAACCCACCACACGGCATATAAAGTACAAAGTGATAGATTTCGCTCCCATTAACAAATCATTTTGGCAAATAAATTTCTTTTAACCAATTTGTAACAATTTCGAAGACGAATTAACTCTCCGCTTACGCGTTAATAGCGCAAAATAAATCGCGCATTCATTTTCCCAAATTGGCCAAAATGGCTATCTTTAAACCCCATAACTTTGCTTAAAATAATCACAGGTGAAATATCTTTCGAAATTTAAGCTCAAGACAACAACAAATTTCGAATGATAAAAAAATCCGCCAAAAATGGCCAGCCAAAAAGTCAAAATGTGTGTGAAGAAAAAACCCACCACGAGCACAAATATTCCGTCAGCTTCCTATCGAAAGTCGGAACAAAGAAGTAATAAATAGTCGATTTACACGAATACGTTATATATTTGATGAAGCTATGAGAATAAATATTATTTAAGCTAATCCTCTGTTAAATATTTTTTGTCCAAATTATTTTGTCAGTATGCAGTTTTCTGCTGGAAAATTATTTTTGAACGAAGTTGAAGTTAAGCAAGGCAAACAGGAAATAATTAGGAAGAAAAATGTTATAGATGTTCTGGACTGATGAATGGTCATTAGCATTGACAGTGCTGTTTTTTTCGTCCCGTCAGCGTATTTTTGCGTAGGCAGCTATTAAGTAGTGGTAAGTAAAAATGAAAAAATTGAAACAATTTTATTGATCAATTTTTTTTGTTTCCGATTTATTATTTTAACCAATTTTTCTGATTATTCAATGCATTCACAAATCGTTTATCTAACGAAGGATTTTTTAGCACGCTCTTGAAAAAGTTCTCAAGATCTTTGTGACAGCTTGAGGACAAGAGAGGGAGCAAAATTTTGCTGTCAGCATTTTATAGCAGAGTTCAAAAAAAAATTTTTGTGTTCTTGAAACATATGATTTCTAGATTAAAAGCTGGACCCCAAGCAATTGCGAGGTGACAATTGATCATTAGCGGCTATTCGCACTTTCATTAAGAAGCGGCAATTCGCACGGTATGAGGAGATTAAATACCAGCTTTCGAAATTTGCTTCACTTGATTGTTATTAAGAGTCAAAAAAATTTTAGGCTGGCCTATGCAAGAAATTAGCTACGTCTTCGAACTACTATGCGAATTGAAATGATTTAAAACACTGAGATAGCGCTAGTTAAAAAGAATCAGTAGCACCAAAATTTTTGATTTTAAATTTAGATTATATTTTATATTTTATCCTTTCCAAATCCCATTTCTGCTTATTAGTTGTTACTTCAAAATGAGCCTATCAAAGAGGACCACTTAACTATTTTTTGTAGGTGCTAGTTTGAAAAAAAATAACTTACAAAATAACGGTAAAATTTTTACCAAGAGGCAAAGCGGAGCTTGACAACACAAAATACGACTCAAATACAGCAAATCAAGCCTTCCGATAGAATAGATTGAAGCAACTCCCGTCCAGACATTTCGGCCAAAGACAATTCAGCCGATTTCAAATTTAGACATTTCAGCCAAAAGTAAGCAGACAATTCAGCCAGAGATAATTCAGCCAAAAATGGCGACCGCTGAATTATCTCTGGCTCACCAGCGACCTTAAACCGAGAAAAAACTTAAGTTCAGTTTTTTTTCTTTCGAATCTAGCGTTTTTTTCTTCAAAACTAGCTGAATTGTCTGTATACTTTTGGCTGAATTGTCTGAACTTCAAATTGGTTGAATTGTTTTTGGCCAAATTGCCTGTGCGTCGAAGCAACTGTGTCGGAAAACTGATTTAAAAATTCACGCAATTTTCTCGCATGATGTTTGAGGAATCAAGGCACAAAATATCTTTAGCAACAATTCGACACTCAAAATAACCTACCTAGAGACAACTAGAGTGACATTATTTGAAAAGACAACAATTGAGCCAAAAAATTGTCAAAAAATATCAAGCTACAATGTTTGTATGCCCCACTCTTAGAGCAATAAAAATTTAATACGATTAGCCAATAAAAGAAGACTGTTCGTTTATCAGGGGAAAAACTGTTCACGGGAATAAATCTTGATTTAAAGTGCACTTGCTACCGCTAGTGAAAAAAGTCTCTATTAAGCTGCAATTCGCAAAACGAAAGTCTGTAGTAATGTCTAGAAAAATGGTAGTAATGTCTAGAAAAATGATGATTTGCTTGACAGCGTTCTATAAGATAACATATACTGTGATAGAAAAAAGCTTTTAAAAACTGTAAGATCTTTTGTTTTTCAGCAATATAGTCAGAATATCACAAAGCTCCATTGCTGATTGCATGCTAAAACTGCTTGTCCGCTGCCTTTAATTTCGTTAGGGCGGCAATTTTATACAGGCGGCAATTTCATAGCAGGCGACAT